CAATCCCCACACATTAATTTGGGCATAGTGTTTCTAAGCTCAGACCATCAATGGGTTGTGTGGAGAAGCACATGAGAGATCCTGAGGGAGATGAGAGAGTAAAAAGCTTATTTTGTAATTCCAACAGTTGCTTCAGGCTGGAGGAGAGACCTCCCAAGGTCCCTGCTGGCCTCAATTACCCTACAACCCTAAAGCACTTTGCAGACAGAGCACAGCAACACCTCTGCCAGGCCCAGGAACGGGGCTGCCTCTGGGCAGGGGCAGCCCGAGCAGCAAGAGAAGGGAAAGCCACCAGTACAGCACACAGCACGCTGCTCCAAACCCCTAGTCTGACCACCCGACATTTACGCTGCCCCAGCACCTTGGGCTGCAAATCCTGCCACCAGCTCTGTGTCCCAAGCCAGGGAACTCACCCCGCTCCCCCAAACACCCCAGGGATACCACAGCAACCTACCTGCTGGCTCGCGGGGGGCTCATCACGAAGAGGGGCTGAGAAGGGAACAGCAGGATAGCCTCCTCCCTGCCTGAACTGCCGGCTGCAGGACGAGCATGACCTGGCATGGCCAGACCTCCCACCCCAGCCGTTACCCCACCACAGCTGGGCTTAATCCCAAATTAAAGCCAGGGGAGGGAGCACTTGGCTGCACTTGTGCAGGTCCCCAACCCAGCCTTCCTCTGCCGGGATGGACTTGTGAGCTTTGCAGTTCCCTGTGGCTATTTTTAATAAAACTCTAAATGCAGCCAGGTCCCCACGGCAGGCTCATTCCCTGGCTTGCTGACGGGACATTGTGAAGAGTAGGTTGCAACCCCCAGGCTTGCTGGGGGAGCAGCATTTTCTTACAGCCAAAGGAAAAGATGGAGTTCACCTGCTCTGCCCCTGTTTCCTGCTCATAAACCCCAGTTTCTGCCTTTGCTCTCTGGCGTTTTCAGCAGAGTGGAATGGCATGAGCCCTGGCATGAGTGGTATCGCAGTGGGGACCCAGCGCTGCTGCTGGCTCAGGGTCAGGGCAGGTTTCTGAGGGGTCTAGGCAGGCTGTCACCTTGCCGGCTTCCCACCCTTGCTCCGAGTGCCGCAGTTTCTCAGCAACATGCACTGCTTTTTCCCATAAGGCAAACCCAAATTATTTTTCCCAGCGTCAGAAGCAGCACAAAAAACAGTGATGATATTTTCCTTTAGACTTTTTGACTTTTAACTCCTCGGGGTCGCCTTGGCTGGCAGCCGCAGCACAGGGGAGGGCAAAGGCAACAGAGATGATGTTTTGCTAAATGACACCTGGGACAGGGCAGCCTCAGCAAAGCCATTTCATGGAACGCGTGCAGCCCTGCGGCGCTCAACCCTTGGAAGAAAGGATGGCTGTGGATCCGGCCATGGTGACTCTCCATGGTCAGAAATACCCCAGCCACCAGGAGCTGCCTGTGCTCAGTCGCTCCTCCAGCGCTGGGGTTCAGGTGGCCTCGGATCCCTCTCTGGGGACCACATTCCCCATCAGTCTGCATACTTTGACGAGACTTTTCTGCCACAGCTTCAAGAGATTAACTTTTTTTAGCACTGATTTCCTAAACAGCCCCGCTAATGACACACCACAATGGCATGAATTATTCAGCAGCGTGAGGATAAGGCGAGCTGCAGCAAGATGCTGGCGCAGCACCCATCCCTCTCCGAGCGTGGGCTTTTGCTCCTTCGATCTCTCGGGCGAATCAGCAGCAGCTCGGCATCCACCGCGCTGCCGCCATTGGCACATGCCAGGCTCTTTTTTCAGCTGCAGCCCCACTTTCGGCATAAACCCGCCTGCTGGGTCCCAGGACACAGCCAAGAAGCCAAGGCGCAGCTTTGGTGGGGCAGAGAGAAGAGCCAAGCCCAGCGAGCTGATAAAGGCTCTGGCCACAACCTACTTGCACAAATGCGTTCAGAAGAAAAATTCTAATTTTCAGAGAAGCAAAGCTGAAACACTTTTATTTGAAACCCTCAGCAGAAGGGGAAGTCTTGTATGCTGCTGCGGGGGTGGGAAAAATACAGGGTCTGACCCCAGCTGCCTGCTGGGCTCCAGGTCTCCTGCTCTCCCACGGATGCCCCCTCCTCCCCAAGCCCTTGTACTTGGGTGGTATTTGCAAAAAGAAGACAAAAATAGAAAAAAAAACCCAAAGCGATAAGTCCCAAAAGTTGTAGCAAGCCCACTGGTGTTCATGCCACACCGCTGCCCCATCCAGCCCAGCACAGCGAGGTCCCCCCTGGAGACCCCCAGACCTGCTCCACGCCTGGCCCAGGCCCTGCCAGGTAGTTTTACACCTGCCTCGTGGAAGAGAAACCCCCATCTCACACCCCAGAGCCTTTTCACATAAAAAATAGATCATATTTATTGATTAAAGTAAGATACATGATTCAGGTGGAGCAACCAGCTCTTCCACTGGGCAGCTACACACGCTGTACACCGACAATGTCCACAGGCACGAGACATGTACATTAATCATTTCTATATTTACACAGACAATTTCCTTGGTTACAGAGCAGCCTATGATATGCAAGTGTCAAGTTTTCATGTCCATCAGGTCCTGTGTTAGGTCCTCCTGGCGCAGCAGAGCCCTCACGCCGTGTGCCCCACCGGCACGTCTGGCCCCATCTCCGAACACCCCCTGCTCACCCCGATAAAAGTGAAGAACTGCAAAAAACGTTTAATGCTGCTGTGATATCCCAGTCTCCTGGGAAATGAGGTCTTCACCACTGATTGCAGAGTGAATTGGATGCTACGTGCGCCGCCAGCAAACCCACCGATGCCCAGTGCCGGGCTGGGGACAGGCACTGTCACACAGCTGTCCCCCCGAAACACGGCCAGCTTTCTTGTGGGGTACCCACAGAGCCAGGGGCAAGCAGCAGACATCCCCTGCTCCTCACAGCATGCCCTCCTCTGCCGAGGGTGACATTTCTACACCCAAACCCAACACCCAAGGGCCACGCGGGGGTCAGTACACAGCGATGGATGTGAATATTGCACTTTTCCTGTCCACGGTGTGGCCTGGAGCCGCCTCCCCCTCCCAGGCCTGGGTGTTTGCTCTCTACCCCCACGGTGTCCTCCAGACGGGGGATTTGACTTAAAGCTTTGCTCTGCCCATAACCAAGCGATGCCGGAGCATGCCGAAACCTTCACCAGCACAGACTTGGAGGAGACAAGGTGAGCCCCGAGAGATGAGCAGGTGAGGGGCTGGAAAGGAGCAGCGATGTGGCACAGACCCACCCCACACCTGACCGTGGGTCCACGTACCGGCATGGGGCACCCAAAGCAGAGCCAGCAAAGGGGGGACAGTGCAAGACACTGAAACACCACACACCGAGGAGGCAGGCTGCAGGGACACCGCTCTGCACTGCCTTCTCCTCCCAGAAGCGGGTCAAACACCAAAAATAACCCCAAGCCTCACTCATCCTCCATCAAAGATGGGAACGCAGCCCGCCAGTGCTATATTCACACTCCTTTCCCACCACTGCCAGCAGCCTTTGCCCACCCCCAGGGAGACACGGCTGCAGCGGGATGCGGGGATAAAGGCTCTCTGAAGGAAGCCACCGTGCTGCCGGCGTTTGGGAGATGCTGCGTTAGCAGGGAGGAGTTTGGCCCAGACACGGGGTTGCAGAGGGGTGTCTCAGCCAAAACCTTTTCACACCGCTAGGAAAAGACATCCCACGGAGGATGCATTTGCTCTCTTGTCTTAAAAAAAAAAGAAATCCAGCAGCAAGGCAAGGAAACTCTCTAGGAAGGAAGCTGGGCTCACTGAGAGGAAGGAAAGCAGCAGCGTAGCAGGGACCATCCCGCCCAAGCATGCACCAGCCACAAAACAAGAACAAACAGGAACACAGGGAGAAGCACCAGAGAGCTGCATCCTACCAGAGGACAGGAGCTGGGGCGGCGGCAGAGGATGCAGAGGGAGTGTGACCAGGAGAGAAAAGGTAAAAAAAAAAAAAAACAAACCCAAAACATATTATGGGATTTTTGTGTGTGATTTGACATTCAGTATCGGCCTGCAGACGCAGCCGGAGCGTGCCGGGGCCAGCTCGGGCACTGTAAACAAGGCGATGTATTTTTGCGGTGTGCAGGCAGCACGCGGTGACCCCCGGGGACACCCCGTCCCGCACAGGGAGAGGGCTCCCAGCCAAAGGCAACCGGCTCGGACCCTCGTTATGGCAGAGCCCATTTGCTCTCCACACGCCTCGGTTCTCTAACGCTTCCGAAAGCCCACGCGTTAGGTATGTGCGCTAGATGGCGAAAAAGAAGTATAACTACTGAAAGCGTGGGCCAGGGTTCAGCAAACCATCCCAGGCCAGGGAGGTGCCATGCCTGGTGGCCCAGCTCCAGGCCCTGCTCAGCCCCCGAGGCAGCTGGAAACAGAGCCAGAGCATGGCAGGAGTCAATGCCCATGTCTGGGATCCTGCCGTGGGAGAGCTGGGGGGCCCCGGGATGCTCTGCACCTCGGGCTCTGCCCCCCCTCCCCACAAGGCCAGGGTGAGGGGGCAGCTCCACGCTCTCCAACCTGAGCTGAGGTTTCTCTGTTGCTGTAAAAATAAAGTGCTGAGGGGGGAAAAAAAAAAACAAAACTGGCACAAAAAAGAGCAGTCCCTGTTCCCCGCCCTGACCGAAAGGACGGGTGAAATATGGAAAGATTGGGATTTAAAAAAATAAAATCAAAATCTACATCCCCAGGATTCCTCATCTCTCAAAGTGACTATTTACACAGGTGCCGAGAGGCTGCTTTGCTGTATCACCTGCCCAAAAAGCCCCTGAGGAAGGCACTGCCCCAGCCCTGAGCTGGATCCCACCCCCCCAGCCGGAACGCAGCACAGGACCCTGCTGCAGCCAAAGACGGGCATCCACAACAGTGCTCCCCATTCTCTCGCAGACCAAACCCACCACGTTTCCCCAGGGGAGAGAGGAAACCATCCCCAGAGGACCCGCAGTGCCCGGTGCCCGTGTGTCCCCAGCACGGCATCCGGAGGGGCCGGCGGGGCAGGGGCACCGTCACTGCACCATGGCAATGGTGGCGTTCACAACGGCAGCAGGGGGCGCTGCCAGCTCCACCAGCGCCTCGTACGTCCCCACCACGAAGCCCACGAAGCCAAAGAGGCTGATGGCAATGTCCTTGGCGATGACGAGCGGGTGCATGCCTTCTGCATAGAAGGTGGCTATCTCCAGCAGCGGGGGGAAGATGAGAGCCAGGGCGCTGCTGCTCATGGAGCCCACCAGCGAGATGACGATGTCCAGGCGCGGGATGAGGATGGCCAGCACGCCTGGAGAAGGAGCGAACACGGTATCAGTGCTGCCAGCTCCCAGATGGCAGAGACCTTCCTCCCCTGAGTCAAAGCAAGCAGAAACCCACCGCAGGGATGCCATCTGTTTGAATCATACCTCTGCCCTTTTCCCTGACACAAGAGCTTTGAAGACATGGTTGCATGTTTTCCAGCAACTCCTCCCCAACTCAGTGTTAAGCCATTGCATTGAGTTAACGAAGCGCAGCACACAGACCAAACCCTTTTTGTCGCCCTGGGCATCGCCGCAGTGAGCTCCAGGGCTGAGCAGGACCAGTGCCCCAGCAAACAGCTGTCGCTGGCAGAAGAGCGGCTGCCAGCAACCCCGGCCCCATCATGAGAGCCAGCACTCCTGCTCCGCACACCTGGGGAGCCGTAAAGCCTCAGAAACCCCACAAAAGTAGGAGACAGGAGGAAAAAGCCATCTCCCCCCACCCTGAATAAACCCGTGTGGTTTGCACGTGTTTAGAGCTGCTCCAGCAGCAGAGCACCCACAGCACAGCCTGGGGGAGAACATTTGTTAGGTAAAAACTACAGCCAAGGAAAATCCCCCTGGGAGACTTTTGATAGCTCGCGCTTAGCAGTGTAAACTCCAGCATATTCCTGCTCCCCCTCCTCCTACTCGGGGCCAGGGGAGGATGGAGGGGTGGTGTCTTCTCCTTCCTACCAGCCCACAGCCACCACCACCTCTGGGCTCCTCTTGGGGCACCACAGTGTCAGCGTCTGGGGGACAGATTTAAAATAAAGGATCAGCAAAGTCCCGTTTTGCAGCTGGGAGCGGTGCCCCTTGGCACGCTTACGCACCGGGTGAGCTCCCCATCCGTGGCAGCCTCGGCACTTGAGAGTATCACTGCTGCTTTTTTGGCCTGAGGAAAGGGCAACTAGAGCTTTGCACAACAGAAGAGCATTCTCTGCAAGCAAAGCAGACTTCAGCGCTTAATCAAAGTGACCAAGAGAAATAAATTGGTTTATTGCTTTGAAAGCTCTGCTTAGAAATAGGAGACACCTAGAACTGTGGCAGCTACAGCCTTGGTGGAGCTGTAGGTGGAGCCTTGGCATCTCAAGGTTCCGTACCGGAGGGATTCATTCACTCCCTGACAATTGGCTGCAGGCGAGAAAGGCTGTTGGAGCCTCCCTGAGCCAAAGATCGCCCAGGGCACCGCAGGAGATGGAAGGCTTAGGAAATGGACAGCAGGCAGAGACACCAACAGGAGGTGCTCCTGCACATCGCCACCACTCCAGCCCTGCTGTCAGCTGGATAAGCCTAGAGACTTATCCATGGGGCACAGCAGCAAAAGTCCCCGCTGAGCTGACCTGGAGGAAGTTTATCCTGGGGCTCAGCCCTGCACAGAGCCAAAGACGTGCTCTGCCACGTCTCTGCTGCAAGCAGCCTCCCTTGTCCAGCAGCCCGTGGGGAGAGCAGAGCTGCCGACCTCTAACAGCATCCTCAGCGCACCCCACACCACTCGTTGGACTCAAAGTAAACAAAATTATTAACGCCCCTCTAAAACAAGCAGAACTGCAGCACCAGCTGCAGTCCTCAGCCTCCAGAGGCAACAGTCATGCTTTCCGCAGGTATTAATTCAAAGGGGTTTTAAGTGTGCTGGTTTTGAAGCCTAAGCTTAAAAGACACCCATACACCAAATTGCATCCTCTCTTTGGAAGCCAAAGCCATGATGCGGGCTTGTTCTGCGGCCATGCAATCATCCGATGAATATTCATGCAACCCCCCTAATTGCTTTTATCCTTGCCAACAGCCACAGCAATCTCTTACGTGGAAAGGTAGGGGAGGAGGTACAAAGGAACCAGCATCCTTCCACCAACACCTCCGCTGCCTCCCTACCCTCAAACGGGAGGGTACAGGCACTGTCAGTGCCTAAAGCCATCCCATCACTCCAAGCCTTCAGTTCCACGGCCGGGCACACCCCAATGCCCTCCGGGAGAGGCTCCCATCCCGCAGGCAGGCTCCGAGCCCGACCACAGCACCGGGGTGGCTGGAGCACATGGTCCAGCACAGCAAGATTTCATCCCTGCACCGTCCCTCCAACTGCAGGCACTGAGGCAGAGCGCGCTTCAGGAACACAGCACAGAGGAGACAGGGCTTTGCCCACCTCTGTTGATGCAGCGCTTCTGGCCCATCATTAGCGAGAGCCCAGAAACCGGCAGCACCTTGCTCTCAGCCAGCTCCGCCGCCCTCGAGTTAGCACCATGCTCCTCTCAAACCTAAACCAAAGCCAGCTGGAACACGGGGTCAGGTTCCTGATGCTCAACTCTGGTGTATCAGCAGCGTCAAGCCATGGAGAAAAGCTCTTTTTCAGCAGATGACGCCTGGGAGCTCAGTCAAGCGCCTCAGCTGTGCTGACAACAGCAAGGATTTAGCCTTCAGGAATCAAAGCCAGCCAAAATCAGATACTCCTGCACCTGATTTGTTCCATGCCTTTCCTGAAGGTCCACCAGGCTCGAGCCCAGCAGCCTGATCCACCAGAGCCTCACTGCAGGCACCAAACACTGTCAAAGGAAAGGGACCATCTGGGGCTCATCCAGCCAGACCTGCCCTGTGGCCCCGGCACGTTGGGGCTTTGGTTATGGGTCATGTGCTATTTTCAGTTGTCTTCTGCTGTGCTACATGCTGCAATAAATGTGTGCGTGTACAGGAACATCCCCCTCCCTCATGGTCAGCGACCCCTTTGCAGCCATGCCCCCGTCACGCAGGAACGAGGAGCCTGGCTGCACACTGCCTATGGAAAACAGCCTCCAGTCTGGGCTGCCCTGGCACTGGACCAGGTGCTGGGAGTGTTTCATACAAAGTTTGATGGGACTCGATGGCCCTCAAAAGTGCCCTCAGGGGGATCCAGGCCCGAGGCTCCATGGGGATCTGCCACCTCCAAATGATGTGGGAAGTTTACTACTCCTCCGCAGAGAAGGCCAGTCCCATACAGAGGGGACAGAGGACCGCTGCTGCTGCTCCCTGGAGGCCACCTTGGCCCACTGGCTTGCATCAGCAAGGTCCAGGAGACTCCCTTCTGCGAGGGCTTTAGCAGCAGGGCCAGAGGCAGCAAGGCAAGGGGTGAAAAGGCTCTCAGCACCACCCGCCCACGGCGGGAAGGAGATGCCATATCCTCATAGGGGAACTCGGACAGGCTGCTTTCTACTCACAGGTCACGCCAACCAGGGCCACCCTGAGGAGGAGGTTGACCAGCCAGCCCCAGTGCTCCGACACCCGGGCGATGAGGGGAGGGATGACGATCTCGGCGGGCACGTAGAACTGCACGGCGTATGTGAAGAAAATCCCAAAGGAGAAGAGCAACTTGACGGCTTGGTACAGCCTGCAAACAAGAAGGAGGAGACCCAGTGAGGCATGCTCTTGCTCCAGCCCTCACAGCATCAGCTGCAGAAAGGGGAATGCTCTGCCAGGAAGGACTTCTGTGTCCCAATGGTCTCCCCTCCTGAACACTCTCCTGGAAAATTAGGGGTGATGCACTCAATTCACAGAGACCTTTCTTGGGCAAGAGATAGCAAGGAGACAGCGCAACCTCCAAGCCGTGGCAACACATGCCCCAACACCTAATCAGAAGCTTTAGTCCTGGCTTTGCGTAAGGAATCATCAGACCAGGAGTTGGGCCAGCAGCCTCTCAAGTGCTGCTTGCCCTTGGGAAAACTCATGGACACAGATATTGAGAGCTATTCGGAAAGAAAAAAAAAACAACAAAAAACCCAAACAACAAACCACTGTCCTGCTCCTAACTCATTCAAAGGCACAGGGAAAGCTGATGCGTCCTTGGCCAAGGGACCAGGAGCCTAACTTGTTCCTCGAGAAGTTAAGGCACCTACCTACATTTCTAGATGCTCATGTGTGGGGATAGGATTTTTAACTATGGACATTACTGAATTCAGTTTTAATGAGCAGGTACTGTACCCGTGAGAAAGCACGCAGGCAGAAGATAAGGAAGATAGGAATGAGCTGCTGGAAAGGAGTAAACAAGATAAGGACCATGAAGTCATGCTGTATGGTCAGGAAGAGCAGACCTATCCGCTGGAGCATAGATGCACGTGAACACAAGGCTGTAACCTATCTGCAGGCTGCGGATAGCGCGTGGACACTTCTGCTTGCTATAAATTACCCTAATATAGAGCAATAAACGTCTTTGGTTGCTGCTTGCCAGAGTCCGTGCCGTTAATCCCCGCACTCATGTGTCCAGCACTGCCCCTGGCTACACGAAGTAATGAGTTCTCCAGGTACCTCACTCCCTACAGAGGGATACAGGCTCCGTACCACCCTCTCCACTTGACCAGGCTGGACTCTGCAAGGTTTGTGGTGACACAGGGTGGCCTTCTTCACGATCACCCCGCACAGACAACACCCAAATATCCAATAGCACTGGTACTGTCAGGAGCCTGCAGTCCCAACTTTTGGCCGGTGACCCAGAAGGAAGTTGCATCCATCACCCATCCCAGAGGTTCCTCACCTTGACCTTCACTAACAAAATCCAGCCTCTGAGCTGAAGGAAGAAAAAAAGCTCCTTTTCTCCTATTTGTTACCAGCTGGATTTTATTCTCCATCTTAAAACAGGAGATGAAGAATACCTTTAAAGAGGTAAAACAAAAAAGAGCAGCTATTTTTGGAATGCTGCATAATGCATGTTTGGGGGGAAGACAGTTAAAAGAGCAGTTTGGGCTGAGCAGAAGGAAGGCAGAGCGCAGACAGGCTGCAAACAGCACCTTAAGCTCACCCCAAGTCAGATCTCACCACATCCCAGATCCTACAGCGATGCGGCAGTGGGGCAAGCATGACTGCAGGAGAGAGCCTGTTGCAGGTGGCCAAAAAGGCACCTCCCAGCCTCGTCTCTGTCCCAAGTTCCCTGACAACAGAACAAGCCTCTCAAAGAGAAGTGATATTTAGTTACATCACATATGGTCCTACCCGTTCCCCAACTCAAGACATGCTGACCAAGCAGGAAACATGGGTCCTGGGCATACCACTTGAGTAAATATGAAGTGGATCCAAGCTGAGGAAGGTATCTGGCTCCTCCTGCCTTCTTTTCCCCCTTTACCTTCTTTGGGCCCAAGCCAGTGTCCCTCTGTATGTTGGCTCTCAGCATCCAGCTGCTACAACAACAGTCTCAAACCAGAGAAGTCCAAGTATTCACATGCAAGACAACTTTGAACACTAGTGGCAGAGTCTGGTGGAGTCAAACGCTTCCCACAACAGCGGAGGATGGAGTTGGGGACCACCTAAGCAAACGGGATGTTATGCAAGCCCATGGAACCAGATCAGATGTATTCGAGGTTGTGGCCAACATCAGCCTGAAGCCACTTTATCATCTTTAAAAGAGCAGGGCGATCAGGGAGAGGTCCCACTGCCTGGGAAGAAGAATCATATCCACCTTCAAGAAGGACGAGGGAAGCTACAGGCTAATCAGCTTCACCTTGATCCCCGGAAAAGTACAGGCGAAGTCCTCCTGGCATCCATTTCGAGGCAGATATTGGACAGGGTGAACAGCCAGCAGGGATTTGCCAAGGGGCAATCATGGAAATACCCTCCTCAGTGACCTGAATGAGCTCTCAGCAACCCAGAGCACGCTCTCAGCAAGTTCCCAACAAGATCGAATTGGAGGGAATGGCTGACACACCTTGGAGCAGGAACCTAAATAACGGGGTGGCACGGGCAAAGTTCAAATGCAAACACAAAATCCCACACGCGGGAAGGGCTGGGGCCCAGCTTCCCGTCTGGCCGGGAGAACAGGATCTGGAGGTCTTGGTGGGCAGCAAACTGAACATGAGCCAGCAGCAGGACCTTGCGGTGATTAAGGTCAATCACATACCGGGCTGTGTTATCCAGCAGGTTAAGGGTAGGGATTACTCCCCTGTTTGGGGCTTGTGAAGCTGCATCTTGGGTATTGTGTCCAGTCTTGAGACTCCCAGGACAGACATTGACCTACCAGAGCAAGCTGAGTGGAGGCTACTAGGATAGTTGGGGCTGGAGCACGTGACATAGAGGAGAGGCTGTGAGACCTGGGCTCGTTCAGCATGAAGAGAAGGTTAAGGGGGATGTTATTACTGTCTTCAGCTACCTAATAGGAGGGCACATAGAAGACAGAGACAGGCTCCTCTCGGAGTTGCACAGCAAAGAACCAGGGGCAACGGGACAGAGCTGCATCCCAAAAGGGTAGTTAAGCACCAGAACAAGGGCCTGGAGAGGTGGGGAACCTCCCTCCTTACTGATACGCAAATTTTGAGTTGGCCCTGCTTTGAGCAGGTGGGTGGACCCAATGACCTCATGACGCCCTCTCTCCAGCCTAAATTATCCTGTGATTCCATAGGCAAACTAAAGACAAAGCTATCACAGAGTCCAGAGTGCGCCCACTCAGCCACACGTGACTTGAGTGCATAGTAGCCTTGAGCCACCTTCCCCACAGCCTGCATAACTGAAAATACAATGATAAGATAAGTGATGCTGTAAAGCCATAAAGAGCTCCAGGGCAATTCGTGATTAACAGCTGTTATTAAAAAAGGTACAGAAGAAGGTTGGGTACCAATCCTGCACAGGTCAGGAACCAGGACAACAAGTTCAAAGGGTATTTTAAATATCAAGAAGAGGAAAAGTTCAAGTGCTAGCCTTGACCCACGGAAGACACGGGTCCACGCCGGGCCCTGGAGAGGCACTGCTCTGCCAACCACAGCAACCACCTGCTTAACTCAGAGAGCCACGCCAGGCCATCCCAACAAGCTGCAAGAAATGGCATACCCTCCTTTGACCGCAAGCTCTGACATTACCTACCTCCAACTGGCCATACGCAACCAAACATGTTCTCCCTCACTACAGCATTTCTTCACTCTTCAGATGGCGGGGTGAAGCAACCCTTCCGAGGATACGAGGAGGGATTTCTGCATAGCAGTGTGGTATTTCGGAGGCTGTGGTTAGACCTGGGCACTGGGAACCGACACACTCCTCATCTGAGGAAGCTGTGGTTATAGAGAAATGAGGCTGCAAAAGTCCTTAGTCATCCTGTAACCCAACGATTCCCGACACATTCATCGAATCTGTTCCAGAGACCTCTGGGCCATGGCTACAGGCAAGGAAGGATACAGCATCTTCGCCACAACCTTCACCTTGTCTTCCACGCTGCAGGCAAACCCCGTGATTCCTCACCCACAGCCCGTATGACCAGCTTCTACAGCCCAACGCCTTTTACTGCTGGGGACAAAACCCTCAGGCAAAGCAGGATGGGCAAAACACTCATTTCAAGAGCAAGTCTTCACCCATCACCCACAGTTTAATGCACGGGAATACAGCGGTCAAGGCTTTAGCCCAAGTATCCCAGCCCCTACTTTAGATAACCAATTTCCAAGTCCAATATTTACAGCCTCCATCGAATGTTCTGCCAGAAAGCAATAAGCACAAACACCAAAGCATTTTGCGTGCTGAGTCACAATGGCCACAGCACGCTCTCCCCAGAGGCAGCCTGCGGGAGCCCTGCCACACAGCCAGGCTTCCCCAGGCGCTGCTTCCAAAGGGCTATACTCTTCTCCCTATCTGAAAAACCCTACATTTTTTTTCAGAAAAGTACTTTGACAGAAAGCATGGATACTCCTAGAAACGTGCATTTGAAATAGGATCTTTCTGTAGCCTAGCGAGTCACAGAAATCCCATTACCTTCTTCTAAGGGAACGTCATCCTTTAGAGCAAACAAAGCTGAGATTTCCCGCAGAAGCCCCCAGGCAGCGTTGCAGGTCAGCAGATGTTACAGGCTGTGGCGTGACCTTGTGCCCTGCAGAGCCCAAGACCCGGATCTGACGTGCTTTCCACCTTCAGGAGCAGCAAGCAGCATTTCATCCCCTCCACACCTCACTTTAGCTTGCTGAGCTGATGAGATTCATACCTACTGTGCTTGGTGCGATAGGATTCAGATCTCCCTACAACACAAGCATGTTCCTCCACCAGTCCCATCCCTCCTCGCTGAGAGCAGAGACCTGGCAGGGCTCGCAGCCCCTGCATGGGACAAGACAAGGCTCTCGGCAGAGCAGGACCTTCTGCCACACCGACACCAATATCCAGCAGTTCGGTCACTACACAGATCCAGCATGAATGAAAGTCCATGCACTCAAATTGAAAGAAACCCACATAGCAATAATTAAAGCAAAACCAGGCTCTATGTTCGGGATTTTTTTTAAAACCCTTGCTTTCTCCAGAGCCCCAGCTGTGCAGCACTAGAAGGTCAGCATGTGGAAACCCACCAGTGACTCAAAATTTGAGTCCTGCCCAAATCCACTTTGTCAGTGGGGAAGAGGCAGCAAGTCACACTGCACGGTGTTGGGCAGCTGCGAAGGGCAGAGAGGATGGGCTGGGGAGGGGGACAGGCACCCCCAGCTCCAGTTCTCACTCTGGTCTCTGGCAGGATTTCAAGCCAGCAGAGACATCAAAGAGAAACTGTTGAACTTCAGAATTCCTAGGCAAACCCGGAGAAACCGTGTTGCCACAGGACGGCTTTCCAAGAAGCCTTGTGGCATCAAAGACAGCCCTCAGCCCCAGCTCCGCACCAAGGCGCAGGAGATGCTGCCGTGCGATCAGTACCTCTGCAGCGCGTAGAAGAGAGCTTCCCTCCAGCGCACCTGTCAGCACCACGTCCTGCCACGCAGACATGCCAAAGCAGCGTGTCATAAGAAGCAACAGAGGTGTTTTTTTTCAGGACTTTCTCAAATAATCCCAAGCAGAGCAAGCTGGAAAAAGCATTTGTTCTCACTGTTTGCATGCTCCACACTTCTTGTCCCAAAGGCAAGAGAAACTGCTTGCATTTCTCCTCCAGGATGAATACGGAGCCGTGACGCTGAGCAACCACTCACCCCCAGGGACAGACCCGCACGCAAGCTGGCCAGCTGCTGCAACAGCCACCAGCCCCGGCAAGAGGAGAAATAACCCCTCCGGGTAAGCAGGTACAGGGTCAGGCCACGTGTATTTCTGCAGGGCTCCAGCCAGCGACCGGAGCCTCCCAAGAGGCCTCACCAGATCCCAGAGGAGGACAGACAGGTTTGGGGAGCTGCAGAGCTCAGCCCCCATGGGAAGGAAGGGGTATCCTCACAGCACCAATGCTTGCAGGCAAAGCACTGGCTCGAGACAAGTCACATCCAGGCACAACCCGGAGCCCAGGAGTGGGAGTCTGAGCTCCAGGGAGCTCAAATGTACAAGAAATTTCATACAAGAAATGCAGCCCACACGCGGAGACGTCACATCTCACTCCCTCTGGGAGCTCCCAGCTTTGGGTTTAGTTTTCCACGTGCTTCATTTGGAGAAGAGAAGCGGTTTTTGCACTGTTCAACAACCTTCTGATATGGCCACACGGAGGTTGTGTTCAACATCTGCCAGCCAGAGTGCTGTTTAGCCCCCAAAAAGACACCACAAGGCTCCAAGAAAAAGGCAGGAGCTGCACCTACCCAGGAGGACTCACCAGGGACACCGAGG